ACCCAATGGTCTGCCACGCTTTATGCGTGCTTTTGATTCATTAGCTATGATACTAGAAGATTGTCTAACAGGTACATCAATATGGATTGGAATATTCTCTGTAGGGATATGTGATTTTATTATCCTTTTCAGATCCGTAAATGCGTCTGGCATTTGATTTGCTATTCTCTGCAAATGAATAATCTTTTGCACCTCTTTTTCACAAATAGAGGCACGTGGATCAAGATGAGACAATGATGGATTTTTCCACAAAATTTCCCCTTTGGTTTCATCATTTTCTCCCCTAATTTGTGGAAACGTGTCTCATCGAATCGACAATCTGTAAATCGAGCAGTGAACAAATTCTCCGTTAATGTTTCGAGGTAGCGAATAATTGAGGGCGATTCAAACCCAACATATATTTCTAACCTTCTTTGGGGGACCCATTTTGGTGCGATATGGCGGTGCTACAAGCACATATACTGCACATCCAAAAATTCTTAAATGGGATATATTAGGTTCATGACCTAAAACTAATTGCAACGGAAAATATTTATGATAATTTGTCGGTCTGAGACGAACTAGCATTGCTGCATGTAAAATGGCGTGACCCCAAACAGAAGTGGGCAACCTCGTTTTCATTAGTAACGGTCTTTCTATCAATTGCAGACGTTTAATTAAAGACTCTGCAAGGTCATTTTGAGTGTGAACATGAGCTACATGATGTTCCATTTTTATCCCAATTGATAGGCAATAATCATTAAATATTTGGGATGAAAACTCAGCAGCATTATCAAGTCGAATAAACTTAATTGGATTATCGGAAAACTGTGCCCGTAATCGGATTATTTATGCCATTAATTTTGCAAACACGAGGTTGCGAGATGATAATAGGCACATATGAGACCATCTAGAAGATGCATCTATTAAAACCATAAAATATCTAAACGACCCACTAGATGGGTGAATAGGTCCACAAATGTCCTCTTGTATATGTTCCAAAAATACAGGGGACTCAATCCCAACCTTTGTTGGTGATGATGGTCTAATAATTAACTTGTCTTGATAACAAGAAGTGCAAGAAAATTTATTATTTAAAAAAATCTTTAAAGGATTAATGGATGACCATTTGAGTTTTCTGCAATTCGTCTCATCATAATTGATCCATGATGTCCCAATCGATCATGCAAAAGTACAAAAGTGTTGGAATCAGTAACCTTTTGGTTTACGATAGAATGTGACTCAATTGCACTCATTCTTGTCCAATACAGGCCACAAGATAAAGAAGGGAATTTTTCAACAACCCTCTTCGGGCGAGAGACATTTTTGGTAACGATGAGATATTCAAGATTATTCTCATCTATTATCTCAATATGATATCCATTTCGGCGGATATCTTAAAAACTCAACAAATTCCTCTTGGACTTGGAGGAGAACATTGCATTATCTATGATAAGTATTGTTCCCCTAGGCAGAGCCTTCAATTATATTACTACTACCATAAATTGTAGTAACATCTGCCTTACACATACTTAAATGAGAGAAATATTTCTTCTCTTTGAATATTGTATGTGTCGTACATGAATCAACTAAACAAATATTTTTACAATTGAGCTTTGATCCATTTTGTGAGATATCCATATTTGCTTCCCATTGTTTGACCTACAAAAGAAATATACGAATAAATATTAGTATTTTCAGAGAAAATGGGAAGAAAAAAAAATTAAACCAATGAAAAATAATGACATTTTAATAACAATTACGCAACTAATAGTGTAATTGTGCTTTATTTACACTTACCACTTTCTCAAAAGGTGTCATCATGCTGATTTATACTTATTATTTTGTTTCAAAGACGTTCTAACGTCTAATACTATTTTTAATTATAGTGCTAGATGGGAAAGCTACCTAATCACCAAGTTTAAACTATAAATTAAAGTAGTATATTTATAGTAACTCATCGTATTAGTCTTTGATAACGAGCACCTAAATATCCGGCTACATATATTTGTTTATGCTTTAACATTTCAAAATTAATAGTAGAAACGCAGTACTTTCACTTTCAAGGCTAATAGTACAAAAGTAGTACATTCACTTTCAAAGTTAACTTGAATTGGGATGAAATGTAAAAGCAAGGCAGACAACGATTTATTACTTTAATAAAGAATAATCCTTAAACTAAGCAAACTAAATTATTGTTTAAAACAAATACTAGAATTATATTTAATCAAAATGAACTAACATTATTTCATAAAACAAATAATACTAATTGATATTAATGACTATTATTCATGTAAAGAACTATAATTACATGATGTTTATTCACTAGCTACTACGAATTAGAGGTGGACATAAAATCCGAAAAATCGAAAAACCAGACCGAACCGAATTAATTCGGTATTTCAATATCGGTTCTTCGGTCTTAATTCGTTATAATTTGTTCGGGAGTTCGGTACGATTTTCGGTATTGAACTTTTGATACTTCGGTATATCGAAATACCTAATTTTTTAACTAAACCTTCCTTCACTGTCCAGCCCATACTTATCAATTCCCAGCCCAAAGTTCCAACTTACCCCTCACCAGTAGCCCAATAAGACTAAGTCCATCTTAGTCCATTACACTTACTCCCTTTGCCTTAAGTCTCTTATGGTATGAGAGCTTTAGCAGTAAAGTGGAATCTAATTGCTTTCTGACCGAATTTCATTTAATTTGATCAGCCGCGAGTATTTCACCCCCAATGTTAAAAGCTGCTTAGATGTATTGTAAAACTCCACTTTATACATAAAGCAACTTCTGTTCTCTCTTACATTAACATAGTAGTTCATGACAAATAGTAATTGACAAGTTATTTAACCAACCAAAAAAGATAAGCACTCCCATAAAAGTAGTTTGGAATGATTAATTAGGACAACATGACTAGCCTATTCAATTTAAAAGCAAAACTATTCGAGATGGATTCTACGCCAGCTTCTGTCCATACCGTAATGTTTCTTCGGAATTGCAAATATCTTAGAAGTCCAAGGTCACTTAGCCGAATTGTTTTTTGTTTGTTGCCATAAGCCGTAACTAGGACTCACAGTAGATTATATAACAAAATGCTTTGTTGCCTGTTAGTATTACTTCTTGAATTAGAATTTCTCAAATATTTATGTAATTTCTAATTAATTAGAATTCACTACTTTCTCGTTCAAGACTTGGTACAGTATCGAAATCGTACCGAACCGAATACCGAAATACCGTACTGCAATTCTTAAATACCGTACCAAACTACCGAACGCACACCCCTACTACGAACAGGCAAACAAAAAAATAATAATCAAACTACTCAATCATCTTTAACCACGGATCCATCACCAATCAAGTGGTCTATTTTTCTATCAGGATGCTCAAAGAAATCTGCCACGTCCAAGTGGGTGATGTCAAATTCATTGTCATAGACAAAATTAACTTCAGGGTCTTTATTCTTTAGAGATGTTTGATAAAGCTCAACCAAATGTCTTGGTGTACGACAAATATTTGTCCAATGGCCTTTTCCACCGCTACGATATCATTCAGTTTCTCAACCCTTTGCTTTTGGCTTTTCATCTTTCCCTTTCCACTTTTGGTGGTTATTTTTCTTTAGGGGATGATTAACACCAGAAAAATTTCTTCCTTGGCCACGAACAGGGCCACGACCTTTTCTACGCTTAGCATAATGGGAATACACCTCATCCACTTCAAGCAATGGTGTAGACCGAGTGAGTCAATTTTCGTGATTTCTCATGAGTAAGTCGTTCTTTCGTTCAGCCACAAGGAGATGATAAATCAACTCAGAGTACTTCTTGAAACCTTTCTCTCGGTACTGTTGTTGCAAGACCATATTGGAGGCATAAAACGTTGTGAACGTTTTTTCAAGCATATCATAGTCATTGATACTATCTCCACATAGTTTCAATTTAGAAGTAATTCTGAACATCACAAAATTATATTCAGAAACAGACTTAAAGTCTTATAGCCTCAGATGAGCCCAATCATATCGTGCTTGTGGAAGAGTGACCAACTTTAAGTTATCATATCTTTCCTTTAAGTCATTCCACAAAACAAGTGGATCTTTGATTGTGAGATATTCTATTTTTAACCCTTCATCTAGTTGATGGCGCTAGAAAATCAAGGTCTTAGCACAGTCTTGGGTAGATGCTTTATTTTTATCTTTAATGGCGTCTCCAAGACTCATTGCATCTAAATAGATTTCAGCATCCAACACTCGTGTCATATAGTTCTTGCCCGAAGTTTCAAGGGCAACGAACTTTCTTTTCATAATATCACTCATAATTAAAAGAGGAGAAAAGTTATACCTTATTCTTCTCAAAGAGCTTCTTGAGACGGTAGAGTCTCGTGCTGATAACTTGTTATGAAACAATAAAAAAAAAAAGAGTATTGCAGAGAAAAGTAGAGAGAAAGAATTCTTATTGATTTGGGATGAATTACAATAGAATAGAATACTTCTATTTATAGTGAAAAAGTGGCTTAGTCGCCAAATAACAAACCCTAAGATCTCTAAAATATAGACATACATCTTAAATATTATTCTATTTATAACACAACTACTATTTCTTGGTTTTCGGTCATTATTCTTCGTTTAAGAAATCTTTCATCTAACGAAGGCAAAAATAAATCAAAATCCTTGAACGCTAAACATTACCTAAAATAAGGAAAAATTAGAATTTAAGATTCCCAAAATGGCTCAAGCGGATTTGCGTAAGTCAGCGAGGATCTACTTAGAAGAAAGAGTACTAAAATCTATTTAAGACTCAACCAAGCAGTTGTTATAATTTTTGTGAATTAAAAAAAAATATTGGAATGAGATGTGGATTAGTAGTTGAATTAGAGAAAAATCATGATTATAAAAAGATCTATTGGATTGATTATCAAGTGCACATTTCGTGCATGCTGAATGCTATAATACAGTGAAAATTGCAACGCCCATTACATTTTTTTTTTGGCAATAATATGTGAATATTACCATAACAAACCAAACGATTTACAAACTAAGAGCATCCAGTTGTTCCAATCCACTCTGATCAGAACCTCTCTAGATCTCAAAAGAAAAAAGAAAACAAACTACCATCAGCTATAACAACTCTAATTACATAGCCTCTGTATCAAAACTGGGCAGTTTCTAGCTCTCCTAGAACCTTCTAACATACTAATCCTCTCCCTAAGTTCCTTTTTAATTTGTGTCGCTATAAATGCATTATTTACGGTGATCTTCCTTAAATGTTTCCAATTCCGAGCTTGCCAAGTGTAGTATATTAGTGCACCAATGATTGTTGCTGCTACTTCCTTCCTGAACTGCCTCCAGTGCCTATTCTTGATCCATTGCAAACTCCTGCTAACAGTGTAGGATGGAATAGTTATTCCTGACCAATTGATCAGTGCCTCCCGTATATTCTGGATCCAAATACTATCCACAAAATAAATGTTGGTGAGTCTCAAGTGATGCAAGATCACACAATAGGCAATTGAGGTCTCCATTGATAGGAATGTTCAGCCTCATCGGTCTTTATTTAGTCATTAACTTGTCCTGGTATGCCAGCCAAGTAATCACTCTTTGCCTTGGCAGCATTACATCATTCCATATAAGCTCAGCTTCTCTCAGCCTGGTCATGTTTCCCTTCAGTGCTATGTAGCTGCTGGAAACTGAGTACAGACCACTAGCATTCAGTTGGTAGACGCCTCTATTGTACCATTGTGACATGTTTTCCTTTAGAGCATTCAACTTTTTTCAATACCAGCTACAGTCCTGTGGGGGTTGGTGCTCCCAGATATTGTGATTGGTCTTCATAGAGATTTCATTAACCCATGTCACCTATATTACATCATTTTTCGTTGCCACCTGCCATAACAGCTTACCAACAGAAGCTATTTTCCATTGTTTACATTCCTTTATGTTCAGTCCTCCACATTGTGAGGTGTACATACCTTTTGTCATGCTACAAGTGATACCTTCCTTTCGCCTATGGAATTCCCCCACAAGTAATCTCTGCATATTCTATCAATTCTCTTAACCACACTGTGGTAAGATGAATACAGCTCCCCAAACATTATAAATGGAGAAGAGACAACATTAATAACTTGTATTCTGTCAGCATACAAAAGTAATTTGGACTAACCACTGTGTAATCTTATCAACCAAAGCATGACATTCCACTATGCTCCATTTCTTAGAGAAGAGAGGTAAACCAAGGTTTCTTATAGGCAGTGAACCCAAAGAAAACCCTGTGCAATTTAGGATCTCTTGCTTGTGATCCTCATCCATCTCTGCCAAGAAAATGTTGGATTTGTCTAGGTTGGCCAAAAGCCCAGACACTGCACTGAAGTGGTTGAGAACTTCCATCATCCTGTTAATAGAAGCAACTTTCTCTTTGCAAAACAACATCAAATCATCAGCAAAGATTAGGTGTGTCAACTTATATGCTTTACACATTGGATGAAAGTGAAAATCTAGTAGCTCACTCATCTTACTAAGGCCTCTTGTCAGGTAATCCATTACTAGAACAAATAGCAGGAGTGACATGGGATCCCCCTGTCTTAGTCCTCTTTCCCCTTGGAAATAACCATATCCCTTTCCATTAACCTTGATAGTGTAACTAGGAGTTGTAACACAGCGCATCACCAATTGGACAAATGATCTAGGAAAACCATAGCCTTGTGGGACCTCCTCCAAAAACTCCTAACTAACCATGTCATACGCTTTGCTTAAATCTATCTTCATTAGGCATCTTGGAGTAGTTTTCCTGTTATAATATCTCAGTATGTCATGGCATATCAAAACATTATGAATTAAGTATCTACCTTCTATAAAAGTTGCTTGATTTACTGCTACTATTGTAGGGAGGACTTCCTTTAGTCTGGTACAAATGAGTTTTGAGATGCACTTACACATGGCATTACAGCACGAGATTGGCTTGCATTCAGAGGATCTTCAACTTTGAAAATTAATATTATGATAGTTGAATTCAGTTGTTTCAACATCTGGCTATTATCAAAGAATTCCAAGATGGCATTTGTTACATCTTCTCCAACCATAGACCAGGAAGCCTTGAAAAAGCCACTTCCAAATCCATCCAGACCAGGGTTTTTATACACATCTATATGAAACATTGCATCTTTGACCTCTGCTCTTGTGTACGGCTTCAAAAACTGAATTTGTTGTTCAATTGATAAACACTTGCCATTCCTCATAAAATTCTTGAAAGCTTTTATCTTGCCAGAAACTTTCCCTAGCAAGTCTTTGTAGTAATCAACAAATATAGAGGCAATAGCACTTTGATTAGTTTGTACTATGCCTTGACTGTCTGTCAACTAGATGATATTTTGTTGAAGCTTCCTATGCTTGATCACAGAAAAAAAAACACCTTGTCATCTCCCAACCTTATCCATGTTGCCTTACTCTTCTGTTGCAAGAAAAGTTCGGCTAGGTAGGAAGATCGTCTGAATTTCTGAAATAGCTCCTTTTCTTTTGTCTGCAAAGTAATATCCTGAGGATGTAAATGTAGTTATGCCTGTGCCTGAGCAAGGTTAAGTCTGTCTTCATCAGCTACTGCAATTACATTACTAAAATGTTGGCCATTCAGCTTCCTCAGTTTGTGCTTCAGGTATTTTAGTTTTTTCACCACTCTAAACATACAACAACCATCCACTTGTTGAGCCCATCCTTCCTTTTCTACATCAAGAAACGATGGGTGGGTAGCCCAGACATTATACTATTTAAAAGTAGCTCTATCTCTTCTAGGACCATCAGTAAGAACCGGCTTCATAGGACAATGATCACTTATTCCCTCAGGTAGGAAATGAGCTTTGAAACTTGGCATACTATTCAGCCAAACTGTGTCAATAAACACCCAATCTATTTTGGACATCACTCTTCCATATCCATGTCTATCATTCCAAGTATATTTACTTCCACATCTTGGTAGTTCAATCAATCCACAAGCATCCACACAACTTTAAAATTCTATTATTTCTGACGGGCTAATGGGGTTAACTCCAATTCTATCATCTGGTTGGAGTACTGAATTGAAGTCTCCCATCACTATCTGTGGCATATTGAGTCCTGCACTTATTGACTCCAAATATGACCATAGATGTCTTCTCTCCTCTCTTGTATTAAAAGCATATACTACAGTTGACAAGTAGGTAAGCTTTAAACTGAGGTGATGAATCTTGCAAGTGACTGCTTGGGCAGTTTTACTGACTAGGACAATTTGAAAATAATTTGACCTCCAAGTTAACCATATTCTACTATTATAGTGTTGCTCTAGGTTGGTGATGTATCCCCAGCCTCCAAATAGTTTGTTGGCCAATTGATCCACCATGTTTAATTTAACTTTAGTTTCTAGAATTCCAATCATACCTATATTTTCTTTTGTACAAAGGAGCTTTACCTCCTTTTGATTGTTAGGGGCATTCATTCCCCTAATATTCCAACAGAGTATGTTATCCATGATTGGAGGGAGGGTTGATTGTCCCACCCTCTTTCTTTACTAGACTTGGTAATCCTTGAATACATTGGCCTGCTGGCTCACTAGGACCTTCTTGAGATAGTGGCTTGAAAGTATTCTGTTGGTTGATTTGAATTCCCCTATTCCCTTGTTGCTTGCTTATTGTATTTCTGGCACTATTAGTAGGTGTAACCCATCCTGAGTTAACCTGTCCACTTTCGTGACTTCTTGTTGCCCCCTTGCTTACTGTCACAACTTGTATCTTTCTTTTACAATAAAAGGTTTGTTGTCGAAGTGGTATATGCCTCCTTGGACAACTTCATTCTCCCCCACTTCATCATCAAATCGCACCAGTACTATCACATTCTTCATCATGGAGATCTTATTAGTGCCATGTTTGCCCCATATTTTCTGGATATAGCTATTCAAAATCGAGAAGGGAGGGTGAGCTCCTAAAACATAACAACATACTACAACAGATTTCCAATGTTCCAGTTCTGTATTGACATCCTCTGTTTCAATTTCACATACAGGGGTAGCTGCATGCACCTCTAGAGCTATGTATTCTAGTTTAAAACCTGAATTTGTTACCTTAGTGATGACGAAATTGTCCCAGATGGATCCCTTACTTGCAACTTCCACCATTAATTCTACTTCATCTGCCCATGAAAGCTTATTTTGACTCTGTGTCAAGGTCCCTGAAGCTACTTTTGAAGTGGATGTTTCTTCTACCTCCAATTGTTCTAGTGCTTTGGCTATTGAAGATCCCCCAATTTCCTCTGAGTTTGCATCCCTAGGTTTAGCTGGTACTGTTCCATTGGTCTCCACCCCTACCATCGGTGAACTCGAGATTGCAATTGCCTTTAGCAGTTCATCCCTTTTCCGTTGATGATTTCCGCGCAGCTGATTCCATGGATTCTGAGCTCTCTTGCCCATGAACGGCGCACGTTAAGCTAACATGCGCTGAGAGAAACGGTTTCTACGCTTTTTTGTCGAAATACCTTGCCTATTACATTTTTATACTATATCTTTTACATGCATTTAAAAGGCCTTACTAAATTAGCCGCCTTGAAGTTTCTAATAAGATTTGAAAGGGCAAAAAAGTTCTTCCAGAAAGAAAAAAAAAGGGGGGTGGGGGGGCAGCAGGTTACAACTGAATCAGACATTTTTGTTGTTCTGCAAACTCGCACTTGACAGACCAGAATTACTGTAATTGATGTCACTATTAACAAGCACAAGCTTTTGTTATCATGTGCATAATAAGTGACGAAATTTAGTTTTGGGAACTTTATCGTAAGGGAGAATTTCTATAGCATTTACAATTATGAGAATCGAACCAATTGGTGTATCCAGAAGACAATATTCTCACTCCTAAATAGAAAGAGAAGGATTAAATAAATGAACCAAAAGAAAAGAAAAAACACCTGTTTACAGTTGATCTAATAATCCAAGTTATGAGTCTTTGACGACCAATATTCCATCTTTGCCACATGCAAGGCAAGAAACTGAGGAGTGTGGCCTTCTTGAATCAGTATTTATTCAACAAGGGCCACAAATATATATGTTGTGAAGGCCATGAAGATTACCATTTGACATTGCTCTCCCTTCAGAGTCAACTTTCACTCATATGTATCCACTTGGGCAGCAGTGCTTCTGTGTGTTTGAAACATTTGAGATCAGTTAAATCTCACCCCATAAATCGATGGTCTCCAACGGACTGGCCATCTCATAAAAAATTCTGTACAATACCTCTCCATTGATTCTTTGAGAGTAATATGCGTCACAAATCAGTACAAGCTCTAATGATGTTTCTTTTGGACAACTTTAAAGGGCTGATTCAATGTGAAGTGAACTCAGACAAGAAAGCAGGGAAGGATATACTTCAAACAAAGGTTCCCGTTACAATTTCTGATGAGGGTGGAGTGGATTCCTCGGCAAGAGCTTGAAGCATGGTTCTAACTTCTGTTGTGTCATCAAGATAATATTTGGCTTTACTTGGCTTTTGTCCCACTGTGCAGGCATACACTTCTGTGCTTGAAGAAAGTATACTGCTATTTATGGCATTTCCAATAATCTCAAACATGTCCTCATCAGACCTATCATCACCTACGCACATCACGAAATCAGCCTGCCGGCCACTCTCACCCATTGATGCGAAAATTTTCTCTGCAACTAGACCTTTACTGACTCCCTGGAATGTTGCAAAAATTGAGGTTTAGATAAAGCTACAGTCAGCAGCAGAGGTTAGCTACAATGAGCATGGATGTGATAAAACAGGTATTATACAGCTATAACGAGAAGACTATTTAGCAAATTATACGGGGCATCCTTCTCAACAATATATGTTGAAAAGTACATGGATTAGGAATGTTGTCATCTCTATTTTTGTTATTAAGAAAATGATATGTATGCGTATGTGTATGTGTATGTATGTGTGTGTGTATATATATATATATATATATACATACATATATATACATACATACATACATACATACATACATATATATATATATATATATATATATATATATATATATATATATGTGTGTGTGTGTGTGTGTGTGTGTGAATGTATATTCCCCTACCTATTTGGCATTATGCTGGAATTACGTCCTAGATTTAACTGAGGCATATTTCTAAAGATAAAAATTTCCTGCAATTGTCTCTATTAATACATCAGAAATTATGAATCAAACCAACTTCAAGAGCAACACCAAACAAACAACAAAAAAAACCAGTTGAGTCCCACAAGGAGGTCTACAGAGGGTGGCGTGTACGCAGCCCTTACCCCTACCCCCTACCCTGGGATGTAGAGAAGTTGTTTCTGAAAGACCCACGGCTCAAGTAGGAAACCAACTTCAAGAGCGACTGCGGAAAATTCAGAAACCTCGAACAAATTGCTTCATTTGAATTGGTAATTCTCATAGCTGGGGCTCAAGATGACAAACGGAACCAAAAGGAGCAACGAGGTGTCAACTTTCTTCTGCTCTAAACCAGCTTACAAGTAAATAGGGTACTTTAAGATGCACCAGCCAAGTGATTATCGTCTTTTTGTTAAAACTAACAATTACTCTTTCTTGGTTGACAGACATCATTCTTGGTTAGAGAAAGTATCAAGAACATCTTAGCTTTAAAAAACTGATGCAAATGACAAGTTTCCCAGATG